CCCCCCCCCCCCCCGCCCCACCATTGTGTACTCTCTGGTGGAGAGTTTGGGCTCTAAGAAACCATAAAGCTGATCCCCTGGTTCTTTTGCCCAAAAGAGAGTAGCTAGGGACCGGCCAATGGACCGATGGGGTTGGCCCCGCCATAGAGATTAAACCTGTAATTGTTCCCTAAACCTTTTTTCTTTCCCCTTTCCCCCAAGCAGAATAGCCCCTCAACAATCACTTCTGAAAAAATACTCAAGCCTCCCAGACAACTTGAATAACCCCAAGTTTTCCTCCCAACAGATAGTATCTGTGAGCTTCAAAACCTCAGCCCTCTGCCCAAGATAAACAACTTTGCACTGTGTTTATGTTTAGAAACTGCCCGAAGCTCTTTAATGAAGTCACTGTAGAAGGATTTAAACAAACTCCCCTCTCAGAGAACAAAAATTACAATGATCACTTATAGGGTATGAAATAAAGGACCTATTCTAGGCAGAAAAGGAAAAGGAAAGAAATCTAGTGAGTTCACCATAAGCTAATTTATATTAGTTAGTTGTGGTTAATAACAAATGCTTTTTGTGAGTTGTATTGCCAACACTTGCCATGTTTTCTGCATCTAAAATACTATTCTCGAACCTATATATTCAAAGTTAAGGGACTACATTTTAGATAAGTAAAGACATGCTCTGTAGTAAAACAATTTGAAAACAAGAGAATTTTTATCTATTTATGTTGAATGTCAGAAAAAAACAACAAAGAAGATCTGTAATTTATGATTTAAAAACACCACCTAGTCAAATTCATCTTATGTGAGATGAGGTCATAACTAATCTATTTTTCAGTTGTCTTATAGCACAGAGAGACCAATTTACAAACCTGTACTTTAATAAAGTTTTTTTTTTTTTTTATGGTTTATTTTTGAGAGACAGAGAGAGCACAAGCGGGGAAGGAGCACAGAGAGAGAGAGGAAGAGACAGAATCTGAAGCAGGCTCCAGGCTCTGAGCTGTCAGCACAGAGCCCGACCTGGCCCTTGAACCCACAAACCGTGAGATCATGACCTGAGCTGAAGTCTGATGCTTAACCGACTGAGCCACCCAGGCATCCCAACAGTAAGCATTTTTAGATCCAAGATATTGGCTTCATAGTTTCCCTTTAATTAAAATCAAGTGCTTTCTAATTTTTTTTTTTTTTTGAGGGTGGGAGAGGGGCAGAGAGAGAGGCAATCCTAGAATCTGTGCTGACAGTACAGAGCCTGACACAGGACTGTTTCCCACAAACCGTGAGATCATGACTTAGCCAAAATCAAGAGTGGGATGCTTAACCCACTGAGCCACCCAGGCACCCCTCTTCCTTTGACTAAGAATCCTGTCTTGGAGCAGTGTTTTTCAAAGTTGGGTAATGGATGGATTCCTCTGAAAGGGAAATAAAAATGTATCTTAAATCTCAGAGAATGGTCTGTAGGACCCAGCTGAATAGAATCTCTGGGGACGGCAGGAGGGCATAGTCTGTTTTGTGTCACTGGTGCATCCCTAGCGCAAGCTGAGGATAGAATGGTGCTTGGTACATAAATGTTAATCAATAACTATTTGTTGAATTCATTGAATAAATAAAGAAGCTTCTCAGTGACTCAGGAACTCAGGCATAAGCAATGGCCTTATTTGGAGCTAAAAGAAGGGATACCAAATGGCTCATTAGCACCCCCTGCAGCCATAAGTGGAATTTAAACTAGAATTTAAACAGAATCCATGAAGTTTGGAGAGAGCATTTTATGGTTGGTTGCATCATCACTTTTGAGAGATCTTTGAGGCATGTGGTGTTCCTAATGGAAAGACCTGATTCACAACCCATGTCTGCCATTCTCTAGCTGTATGTCACCCAGGTTAACCATGTAATCGCCTCAGCCACAGCTCTATCCTGTGTGACATGGAGATAATGTACGCCTTCCTCACAGCATTGTTGTCAGAATCCAGATTTGGTTTTAAAGTTTCTATGGAGACATGAAGAACACAGAAATCTAAAATTTTTAATAACTGAGCCAGAGGTAAGGGTGAAAGGGTTCACCATGAGCCAACAGCCCAGAATCAAGAGCAAAGATGAGCATTCATGCTTGATTGCATGTGACAGGTACAGACATCTCTATACTTCTGTTTGTTTTTTCAAGCTTAAAAAGACATTTTTAATCTTTATTTATTTTGGAGAGAGAGAGACAGAGACAGAGTTGAGTGAGTGGTGGAGGAACAGAGAGAGAGGGAGACAGAATCTGAAGCAGGCTCTAGGTTCTGAACTCTCAGCACAGAGTCCAACACGGGGCTCAAACCCACGAACCATGAGTTCGTGACCTGAGCCGAAGCCGGATGCTTTGACTGAGCCACCCAGGCGCCCCCATTTTTTCAAGTTTTGTTTAAATTCTAGTTAGTCAGCATACAGTGTAGTACTGGTTTCAGGAGTAGAATTTAGTGATTTCTCACCCAGTGTTATATGTAAGTGCTCATCACAACAGGTGCCCTCCTTAATACCCATCACCCATTTAGCCCATCCCCTACCCAACTCCCTCCACAAACCCTCAGTTTGTTCTCTACAGTTAAGAGTCTCTTATGGTTTGCTTCCCTCTCTTTTTTTTTCCTTCCCCTATATTCACCTGTTTTGTTTCTAAAATTCCACCTATGTGTGAAATCATATGGTATTTGTCTTTCTCTGACTGACTTACTTCATTTAGCATACTACATTCTAGCTCCATCCACATTGTTGCAAATGGCAAGATTTCATTCCTTTTGATAGCCAAATATATCCCATTGTATATACGCCACATCTTTATTCATTAGTCGATGGACATAGGGGCTCTTTCCATACTTTAGCAATTGTTCACAGCGCTGCTGTAAACACTGAGGTGCATGTGCCCCTTTGAAGCAGCGGGTGTGCATTCTCTGGATAAATACCTAGTAGTGCAATTGCTGGGTCGTAGGGTACTTCTATTTTTAACTTTCCGAGGAACCTCCACACTGTTTTCCAGAGTGGCTGCACCAGTTTCCAGAGTGGCTGCACCAGCAGTGCAAGAGGGTTCCCCTTTCTCTACATCCTCGCCAACACCTGTTGTTTCCTGTGTTGTTAATTTTAGCTATTCTGACAGGTGTGAGGTGCTACCTCTTTGAACCTTGTATATACCCCTGATGAATTCAGAGAGTAAAAAAGACAGCAACCTGTATACTTGCCTGGAAAAAGCTACAGTTAAAGTCACAAAATAAAACAGAGTCACCTTCTGTTTTGCTTTTTGTTTTGTTCTTTTACCCAGAGTGTGCCTAGTTTTGTTTAGAAAAGTCACGCACATTGTCCAGTGACTGAAGATATTTATCCTGAATCACAGCACTGCAGTAGGGGCAGCGGAGGCCAGTGTGGGGCTCTGAACATGCAGGTACTCAGAGACTGTGTGCTCACTCCAGGGAGCCTGGTGCCGGAAAGGTGGAGTATTTACTCTTCCCCCCCTCGTTTGAACGATCGCTTGTATGTTGCACTCAGGCAAAGCCTTCCCAACCTACTGCTCACTGGCTGAGAAATGATCACTGGACAGTTTTAGACCTCCCTGAGGCAGGGCACTCACATGACAGCAGCCAAGTCACAATCCCCATCAGCTCTCTGAATGCGACATATATTCACTCTCTCCAGAAGCCTTCTGGAAATATGACGTGAAACCTCAGTGCAACAGCTGGAGGCAATGGGAAGTATGGCTAAAAGAAGAAAAGAAAGAAAATGTTACATCTTACAATTCATAGAACAACGGCCTGGACGCCAAAAAACAAATAATCCAATTTAAAAATGGGCAGAAAATAGAAACAGACATTTCTCCAAAGAAGATATCCAGATGGCCAACAGACACATGAGAAGAGGCTCAACATCACTCATCATGGACATGCACATCAAAAATACAATGAGATATCACCTCACACCAATCAGAATGGCTAATATAACAACACAAGAAACAAGTGTTGGCAAGGATGTGGAGAAAAAGGAGCCCTCATGCACTGTTGGTTGGAAGACAAACTGGTGCAGCCACTATGGAAAACAATATGGAGGTTCCTCAAAAAGTTAAAAATAGAAATATCTTATGATCCAGTAATCAATCACGCTACTGGGTATTCACCCGAAAAATACAAAAACACTAATTCAAAGGGATACATGCACCTCTATGTTTCTAGCAGCCTTATTTACAATAGCCAAATTATGGAAGCAGCCCAGGTGTCCATCAATAGATGAGTGGATAAAGAAGAAGCAGTATATGTATATACAATGGGATATTATTTGGCCATAAAAAGGAATGAAATATTGCCATTTGCAATGACACGGGTAGAGCTACACAGTGTAAAATGCGAAGTGAAATAAGTCAGTCAGAGAAAGACAAATACCATATGATTTCACTCATATGTGGAATTTAAGAAACAAAACAAATGAGCAAAGGTAAAGAGAGAGAGAGAGAGAGACAGAGACAGAGAGAGACAAGCCAAGAAACAGACTCTTGACTATCGAGAACAAACTGATGGTTACCAGAGGGAAGGGAGTGGGGAGACGATGAAATAAGTGATGGGGATTAAGGAGTGCACTTGTTGTGATGAGAAACTGGGTGATGTATGGCATGGCTGGATCACGATATTATACACCTGAAACTAATACAACACTGCATGTTAACTCTGCTGGAATTTAAAAACAAAAAGTAAAGACAACAAACAACAAATAGGCAACGACCTGGTCCTGGCTCTCTTTGTAGATTCCAGAGAAACAGAATGCTAATCCACTCAAGCAAGGCGCACACACTCACTGAGGGCTCTGTGAATGCAGACCTGGGACAGGACATGTCTCTCCCTTTTAGAACTTACACTGGATTTGGGGAAGATAAAACATTAAGTTCACACAAAGACACAAAACAAGTGAAGAGATGAAAAATAGCTCCAGACAACGATGCTAGCAGGGTTGAAGACGGACCTGATTCGACTTGAAAGAAGTGAGGTTGACAGAGTGTCCCACACAGTTTAGAAGAGAGAGACCACATGGGTCCCTGGAACAGGTTTGAAGTTTCCTACCAGGGAAGGACTTGGATGAATCTTTAAGAATTTGGATAGGTGGAGAAAATGAAGACTTGTCAAGACTAAATAAAGCGCATGGTCAAGAATTCCGAGATAGGAAAGACCAAGATGTATTTAGGGAATGGAGAAAAATAGACCACACTGTTTGAAATGAGTAGCTAGGAAGGTAAGCTATTGGGGAAATGGTTCAAAAGATAGACTGAGGTCACACCAATGAGGCCCTGAATGTCAGTCTAAGGAGGTTTATCTTTTATGAAAAGGGGATCATTAAAGATTTGGGAAAGGAGAAGAGTTTTAGGAAAATCCATCTTTCAGTGATAAGCAAAATGCATTAAGGTGCAGAGTGACTGGAGAAGGAGGTCAAGGTAGGAGGAGCTTACGTGTAAGGAGGGCAACACAAACATGAAAGGGAATCCGATCCCCTACTAAAACGTGTATCTGGGGGCACCTGGGTGGCTCAGTCGGTTAAGCGTCCGACTTCGGCTCAGGTCATCATCTCACGGTTCGTGCGTTTGAGCCCCGCGTCGAGCTCTGTGCTGACAGCTCAGAGCCTGGAGCCTGTTTCAGATTCTGTGTCTCCCTCTCTCTCTGCCCCTCCCCCACTTGCACTCTGTCTCTCTCTGTCCCAAAAATAAATAAACATTAAAAAAAAAAAGTTAAAACGTGTATCTGCAAACTCCTACATGCCACATGCACACAGTATTCTCCTATGCTTCCCAGTCCACCAAGTGGGCAGTGAATTTTAAAAATATTTTTTAGAAATTACAGCCAACAGTGGGTGCACGTGGCAGCCTCATGATAACAGAAATTAGCTCCTGAATTAGGTGCTAAAAGAAATGTTTTGACCTCTTCACAGTGTCAGCTCTAAACAATAGAGGCACCTACCCTTAGGATAGGGGAAAATCTCAATATCCATGCTTTGTCCACATGGAAACATCAGGTCCCTCACAACTATGGAGTAGAGGAGCTGAATATGAAGTTAAGAATGTTTATGTGACTCACTTTTTGAGCATCAAAACTTTCCATTATTATTCATTTATTCACCTATTCATTAATTACTCAACAATATTTATTGTGCAGGTAAAATGTTCTAGGCACAATGCCAGTAAGTGGGGGATACAAGAATAAATATAACAGTATGTCCGTGTCCTCAAGAGGCTATTGTAGTGGAGGCACATTTAGAATTAAATGCTTAGGATACAACACTCTTAGCCCACTATAATTGAACTTATAGAATTCTGTTCTTCCAAAAGGCTCCCACAAGTCATAAAGACAGATGCACAGCTGTTCACTATAGCAAAAAATTAGAGACCATCTAAATGTCTACCAACAAATAAGTAATAGTACATCCAAATGGAATAAAGGATGAGGGGTGTGTGTGTGTGTGTGTGTGTGTGTGTGTGTGTGTGTATGCACTAAGATATATGAATATCCACAATTTATTGTTTTATTGTTATGGGAGAAAAGCTAGTTTCAGTATAATAACTATAAATGACCCCATTTTTATAAAAAGAATGTGACACATACACAGAGGAAAAATTATGGAATTATATATGCCCGAATTTATAAGCAAAGACCACTTCCAGAGGGGGGGCAACTTTTTAACTGGCATGCAATATTTGTATTTTTTTAAACCTCCAACGCTATGGAAATCTGAACCAAGTCCTATAGAAACACAGAAAGTTAGAGAAATTAACTCTGAATAGGAAAGACAAGGTAGGCATCAGTTTAGACTCAATTCTAAAAGTGGAGTAAAGGGGCGCCTAGGTGGCGCAGTCGGTTAAGCGTCCGACTTCAGCCAGGTCACGATCTCGCGGTCTGTGAGTTCGAGCCCCGCGTCGGGCTCTGGGCTGATGGCTCGGAGCCTGGAGCCTGTTTCCAGTTCTGTGTCTCCCTCTCTCTCTGCCCCTCCCCCGTTCATGCTCTGTCTCTCTCTGTCCCAAAAATAAATAAAAACGTTGGAAAAAAAAATTAAAAAAAAAAAATAAAAATGGAGTAAAAATTAACCTGATTGAGAAAGGGAGTGGAGCAGTCCAAGTAGAAGGAACTGTGTGTCCAGAGCACTGGGGTAGGAGAGAAAAGAATGTTTTATTGCTTGTGTAACTCACAGAGTCCAAGTCCAACACATAGAAGCTGGTGTCTTAGACCAGGGCAAGGATACTCTGGCAAGACTCTCATCAACTATGGTACAAGAACCTCTGTGCTGCCTTCAGATCCTCTCCAGAGCCTTAGGGAAATGCCTTGACCCTAGTCTCATAGCCTTAAGGAGGAGAGCCTCTTTGCTCTGCATCTAGATGCAGTAAAGGGTGCTCGCTTCGGCAGCACATATACTAAAATTAGATGCAGTAAAGGGCTTTTCATTTTGTTATGCATATAAGGAGTGTGCATGGAGGCACATCCAAACACCAATAAACCAGACTGACTGGAATAGGAAGATCAAGCATTTATTGAGTGTCCATTCTGTGCCAGGTCCTGAACATTAGAAATGTTGAAATAAACAAGGCAAACTTTCTGCTCTTGCAGTGTTTAATAGTCCAGTGGGAGGCAGGGAGGTCAGCAAATAATCATAACATAGCAAAACAAACGTTAGCAGATTGATGTGTAAAGTGGAATGGGGTTACAAGTGAAAGAAACCAGATTCGAAAGGCCACATATTGTGTGATTCCATTTATATGAAATGTCCAGGATAGGCAAATCCATAGAGACGGGATGTTGTTGCCAGGAGTTGGGGGTTAGAGGGAGTGGGGAGGGACTGTTAACAGGTACATGGTCTTTTTGGGGGGAGACATGAACATGTTGGAATTGGATAGTAGCGATGGTTGTACAATTCTGTGACGATACTAAAAAACCACTGAATTGTAGGCTTTAAAATGGTAAATGTTATGGTATGTGAATTGTTTCCATTTTTAAGCGCTATAGGAGCACAGAACATTGGTTGTCCTTTCATTTATTAAAGTATTTATCTCCTAAAATGAATTGTTTCTTCAGCTACACTATGGTGCCTATTCTCCAAGTCAAACTATTTTAAAATCCCAAAGTTTTGGGTTTATTCGTGTATCCATCCATTCATTCACCATCTTACTACATAAGAATCACTATGTGAATTCTTATAGAGTAATATCCAAATACATATACTTGTAAATTCTTATAGACTCAGTCATTAGCTAAACCCTGGGAGTAGACAGATGAAGAGTTACTAGCTTCAGAGAGCTAACACTCAGACCACTGCTATTAGTTGTGACCCAAGCGACTATATGAAATGGACTTCCAGAAGCATTGTGGGAATTAAGAAATACTGGCAGATCTGTGTGATTAGGAATTTGAGTTATCGGAGTGCTGACATCAATTCAAGGAATAGTTTCAAGCCAGAAAAGCACGTAAATTCAGCAGTAAACTGGATTACATTTCTCATGAATGAAGGTAGGGCAGGCTCACCTGGAGATCATTTAACCTAAATCGGATTAACTATCAAAAGGCAAGAGGCAGGCCAGATTTATTTCATGTTGGCAGATGTGACTGGTGCCCTCCTGAGGCAGCTGGAAATATAAAAAGTCAGGAGAGATGGAATCCTGTGAAGAATGCTCAAAAAGTTCGGCCGCGTAGACTGTTAACAGGGTAGTTTGGCCGAGGGCAATGCCAAGATTCTTTTGGAGAACTGCGCCCCCTACAGGTTTTCTCGATCAGCGTCCTGTCAGAGTATTTCCATTTCAAAGAATGCTCAGCAACTTCCTCTGATTGCAATGATGATCCAGAATTTCCAGATAGGAAAGATTTAGAGGTGGCAATAAGGTTGAAAAGAGGGATTAAGTGGCGTTTCTTCTGCATTTACAGAGTTTTAATTCAATTTATACAGTTACTTGGTTGGGGAAGCAAGCTGATCAGGGATTAGAAGACTACACCTTCCCCAAAAGACCACCCTAGGGCCACCACTACACAAAGCATGGAATCCCACGGGAAAGAACCTATTTTTGTTTCAGAGCTGGAGTTTAAACACAGACCCGTCTGATGGAGTAGGGGCTCCTTGAGGGAAATATGGGGAAATTTTTGCAAATAAGAAAGAAGGCTTTGCAGAGGGGGCTTAATAAAGCTGCAGGGCCCAGAGGTATGAACGAGCAAAGATCTGAGGTTTATTGTGAGGATTTTTCCGCTCCACCCTCACCCCCTTTCCTAACTGCCCCAGACATGCCCTTTTGCTTTGGAAAGGACACTCCGGAGTGTGTCATCCCAATAGCTCCACCTGGGAATCTCTTTGAAAAGGTGATTTATGAGAACAGTAGATGCATTTCCCTGCCGGTCTAAGGTCAGCCCTCTGGGGGAAGGAGGCAACCACCAGTGAGTAGGCAGTGGGTCAACAGCAGCTGCCCAGAAGAGGCACCATAATACTGCAGGTAGGGGCACTGATCACGTGAGAGGCCAGCATCCCTACCCTATCAGACCACCTCTCCCAGATTCCTAGAGGGAAAAGCCCTTTTTCTACAACCCACAATTTGAGAATTATCAAGAATATTTGGACTGGAGAATCCTGGGAAAAACATGTGGGATGACTGACTAAGCAACAAGGTGGTGACTCGGAACATCATAATGGCTATTCACCAGCCAGTGGAGCCCGGACCATATAATTTCCATGGGTAGCATCTGATGTGTGTATTCAGTAAATTGAACTCAATACTTGAATCATTCTCCAATTTTTTGTAGACTATACTAATCTTTGCCCCATTAAAAGACAATTTGCTACTGTATAAGAAGTGTGAGTCAAAGTAGGGGGGAAACACTTCTAACATAAGGCAGAATGTGGCAAGGGCTACGTGAGAAATAGAATGAGTGTCCTGCATTCACAGGCAGAAAAGAAAATTATAACAGAGATCCACGTACATCTTTATCAAGGAGGTAGCATTTGAGCTGGGGACTTGAAAGATGGAGAGTTTGAATAGAGCAGTAGATGTGGAGGAGACAATGAGTATAAAGGCACAAATGTGGGGAAAGATAGAATATATTCAAATTTGGTGAAATTATACCTTGTGAATGCAAATTGTAAGAGGAATATGCCAAAAACACAAGTTCAGTAATCTCGAGGACACTTTTTTTTAATGTTCAGTTATTTATTTTTTTTTTTTTTAATTTTTTTTTTTTCAACGTTTATTTATTTTTGGGACAGAGAGAGAGCATGAACGGGGGAGGGGCAGAGAAAGAGGAAGACACAGAATCGGAAACAGGCTCCAGGCTCCGAGCCATCAGCCCAGAGCCTGACGCGGGGCTCGAACTCACGGACCGCGAGATCGTGACCTGGCTGAAGTCGGACGCTTAACCGACTGCGCCACCCAGGCGCCCCTAATGTTCAGTTATTTTTGAGAAAGAGAGAGAGAGAGAGAGAGCAAGCTGGGGAGGAGCAGAGAAAGGGACACAGAGGATCCAAAGCAGCCCAATGTGGGGCTAGAATTCACAAATCGTGAGATCATGACCTCAGCCAGTCAGAGGCTTAACTGACTGAGCCACTCAGGCGCCCCTATGGAAATATTTTTAATGAAGACATCATGATTTACTTTAACAATCTTCTGTGGAAATCTAAGTGTGGAGAGAGAACTGATGACACCCTCTGCACTCCTCCTTTGCTTCCAAAATACTCAACATAGAGAGAGGTGCCTGGGTGGCTCAGTCAGTTAAGCGCCTGACTTCAGCTCAGGTGACAGTCTCATGGTTCATGAGTTTGAACCCCACAAGGGATTAGTGAGTTTAAGCCCTGTGTTGGGCTCTGCACTGGAGCCTGCTTTGGATTCTGTGTCTCCCTTTCTCTCTGCCCCTACCCTTCTCTCTCTCAAAAATAAATAAAAAACAAAATCATAATATTCAACACAGAAAAGTACAAAGAATGATACAACATCTATACACCCCATTCAAGATTTTACCAATTTTAATCCT